TGGCCCTACAGGATTTCTCCCCCTTTTCAAAATCGAACATGAGAGTTTCCTCTCATCTGACTCAAGTAGTTATACTAAATAAATATAAGAACATGAATTCTCGCTTTCAAATTCTAGAGAGAGTGAAAAAAGTGTCTAAATACTTAAAGTGCTTTTATTTTGATCTAAAAATAAAAAATTATTTTTTTTCAAAATTTAATTTCTTTTGAAGAAAAAAAGTAAATGGGAATTAATTTTTAACATTAAAAATTGGATTGTTTTAACTAAAATTAATGGATGACATGCAATCAATTAGTATTGTCTTCGATGGGTACTATAACGATGCTAATCCTTTCCTACGCCTAATTGACTCCCGAACTAAATTTTGATTTTGTAGACCGCAAAAATGTTCTTTTGTAAAACTCAAACTCATTTTTAAATGTTTTATAAAAATGATAAAATTTTTTAGTGACCAATCACACACTAAAAAATATTGGTAGCAACTCTTTCAATTTTGTTTTTATCGAAAAATATTTTTTTAAGACCACTACTTTTTCTCATCCAATTTCCCAATTTGTCCGATGGTTGGATTCCATCTTTGATCCCAATCTTATTGCCACAGCTTAAGTGGAAAGTTATACCTAAGAATTTAGGATTTAGGGTCCCTAGTATCAAAAACACTAAAAAGATATCGATGATCTGGAGATGTAATTAGCTTAAGTGGTGATCAATCCATAAAAAAGTTTATAAGAATAGAAGGTTATAGATGGCTCATGGATAATGGACAAGCTGTCTTGTTATGGTATGATAAATGGTGTAGGGAAAAGTCATTGAAAGAAAATTTTCACAAGCATTTCATTCTCACGAGCAAAAATGCAAAGCCAGTAGATTATTCCATTGAAAATAGGTTTAAGCATCCTCGTGTCAGGCAAAAAGCCCCAATCTAACCACACTAGCAGAAGTGAAATCCATAATTAATTAATCACGTAAGAAACAACAATTTAACGTGATTCGACCTAACCGACTTACATCAATAGATGAGAAAAAAGATCTACTAATTGTAAAGAATTACAAACATACAATCCATATCAATAAGTACTCAACAATCAATACCCATAGACCCTTTTAACCTTCTTTAGTCCTATGAAGTATTCTTAACTCAAACAAACACATACCTATATGCACCCATGCTCTGTATCTATGTGAAGCCTCTCAGTCTTCTTTAGTTTATTCACAAATATTCAAACATCTACACTCATAAGACATAAATCTCTAGTAGTCTTATGGGATATCTATCTCATAAAACTCTATAATTCTCTTACATATTTTTCTCATACTTAACCCTATAAAGATTTCATCTATTTAGAACCACACAAACTTACCTATTAAGAATCCTTTTCCTTTTAGAATTATTCTTTTACAAGTTTTTTTATCCATTAAGTAATATCTAACTAATATCCAACAAATCACTTATAGGATTTGAGTCACTATTCCTAACAATCTCTACCTTGACTCAAATTCCATCAAAATATCCATCTTCATGCTAGACATACTTGACTCTACCTACAATGGAAGTCTTGTAATCATCTTCTCTTGTATGTCTTCAAGTTTCATGCAAATCGATTTTCATTCTTCAAAATATGAACTCGAACTCTTTCTTTGAATTGAGCTATTCTAAACTTGTCTTTTCCCAAATCTCAAACTTTTAGCTCAATACCACTTGTTAGGTGAAAAGCCTTAATACAATCACACAGCAAAAGTGAAATCAAACAATTAATCAATCATGTAAGAGACAATAATTTAACATGGTTTGACCTAATCGACCTATGTTCACGGATAAGAAAAAAGATCCACTAATTGTAGAAAATTATAAATATACAATCCATATCAATAAGTACTGAACAATCAATATCCATTGACTCTTTTAATCTCTTCTAGTCCTATGGAGCATTCTCAACTCAAACAAACACATATCTATGTGCACCCATGCACCTGCCTATGTGAACCCTCTTAGTCTTCTCTAATCAAAATATTCAAACATATATACCAATAAGACATAAATATCCAGTAGTCTTATGAGGTGTCTATCCCATAAAACTCTATAACTCTCTTATATCTTTTTTCATACATAATCCTAAAAAGATTTCACCTATTTATACCCATACAAACTTGCCTATCAATAATCCTTTTCCTTTTAGAAATCTTCTTTTACAAATATTCTTGTCCATCAAGTAATATCTAACCAATATCAAACAAATCACTTATGTGATCTGAATCACTATTCCCAACACTTGAGTGGGAGACATTTTTTAGAATAACTTTGTTTAATTGGAAACAGAGCTGGTTAAGTAGTCTATGTTCTATGATTGATGGCAGCAAATTAAGTTTCCGTAAAAGAGATAGAAATGTGTGGGAATATGACAAAGTGGGAATGTTCTCTATCAAGAAGTTGACTGTCTAGCTTGACCAAGCTAATAACATAGCTGATATGCTAGAATTATGCAGATTATGGAGGGTCAACATTCCTCCTAAAGTTCAATGCTTTCTTGTGGCTTGTTATTTTGGGCAGATTCTGGCCAAGTCTTTTATGAAAGATCGAGGTATTCCTTTTTCTCATGCCCAATGTCTTTGTCCTTGGTGTAATCAAGTGGTTAAAGAAGTGAACCATTTGATGTTATTTCGCCCATTCATGTATGAATTTTGGTGTGGTTTCCTGCTTTGGTGGAATATTAAATTGTCTATTCTAGGATTAGTGAATCAGTTTCTTCTACGATGTCTTGAGAGCTCTTTAGTTGGTCTGTTGAAAGGTTGGTGGATCGCAACCTGTGCGACTGCATGTTGGTCTATATAGTTAACGAGAAATGAAGTGGTTTTTGAAAATAAGAAACTTAACATTGAGGAGCTGCTGTTTCTTATCAAACTCAGATCTTTACTTTGGATTAAAGCAATCAAGGAAGAGATTGTTATTTCAGATTTTTTATGGTGGATTAACCGATTGGAGTGTGTTCTTTCATCGATTTGTAAAGCTGGGAGATCTCTTATTTGTTGGGTATCTCTTAAAGACGGTGTACTAAAGTTTAATTTTGACGGCTCTGTGAAAGGTAAGCTGGGGCTTGCGGGTTGTAAGGGATTATTGAGAGATTCTAACTCAAAGGTGTTGGCAGTATTTTCAGCTCCCTTAGGGATTCAAGAAACCTCTTTGGTGGAACTCTTGGCTTTTAAAATGGCATTGGAGATACTTGTGTCATTACGGAGATAGAAAGGAGTTAAGGTAATAATCGAATTCGACTCTTTAATTGCGGTTAATTGGTACAATAAGAAAGACACAAGACCATGGAGATTATGGTCTACTTTTTCTGTTATTGATTCTTTCAGTGAGGAATGTAATGTTAGTATTCAAAAAATATACAGAGAAGCCAATCGAATGGCGGATTCCTTGGCCAAGACAGGAGTAGATAGAGTAGATAAACTCTTAGTTTAGTGGTAAAATATGTACTATTCTCAGGTGATTGTTTGGCTGGTTTGGGAGACTTCTTCTTGTAATCCTATTCTGGTAGATGTGGTGTCGATGCTACCTTCTTTGCAGATGTACTTTTTCTATCCTTGCAATAAAATTTGAACTTTGCAAAAAATAATAATAATAATAATAATAGTCATACATTAATTGATTTGTTGTTGATGGTTTGTATCTTATGGACATGTTTATGTAGTCCTAAGGTGATAGCTATTCTGTATGTATAGCCATACATCCCTTTACTCTATTCTTGTTGTTCCTCAAATTTAGTGTCTTAACAAAAAACAACGTGATACCTTTTGCGGAATGTAAGTGAATGATGAACAAGTACGAAAAAGTAGTATTCAGCAAGAATGACCGAAATCTCCAAGCGCTGAACTTGATGATGATGCCGAAGCTTATCATGTAAGTTCATTGTTAAAAGCAAGGTACATTATATATATATATATATATAATGTACCTTGCTTTTTACAATTATATATATCCTGTTTCCTGCATCCTTCTCTAAACCCACTGGATTTAGAGTATATATTAGAGGCTGAATTATATTCCTGTAATTAGTGTTCAGAAAACTATATATGCACTTTGCAGTGTTGGTAATTTTTTAGTTTTGCTGGAATTTTGGCACATCTCAAGATGCCTAAAGGTAAAGGTATTGCCCACCACTAGCACGGCCACACCAGTCTGATAATAATTGCCAACAATTAATGTTATATCTCTGTATAGCTATAGTTTGGTTTCCAAAGGTTGCAAACTTGCAATTTAGATTTTTTATTTAATAAGTTCAATTCATGTCGAATTCTCGTTGATAATTATATATGGAAACTTGCCTAATGTATTAATCCAAAGTTTGTCTCGGAGTTGTGGGATTCGAAACTTGAACCATAGAAACCGAATTGATTTTAAAAAATATGATTATATATATATATATATATATATACACTTTCATTATTCCTACTTGCTTAATTATCATAATTATTGGTAAAATTTATAATTTTTTTAACTAGAATTATATAGTAAAATCTGCTTATTAATTTGTTAAACATCAATTTAAAATAAAATAATTTAAGTTTCGAAACGAATTGCGGGCTTACGTGCTAGTCTATTATTAAAGGAACAACTCTTTTTGCATGAATGCAGATATGATTTTCATGCAATCAAACACTAAATCCAATATTCTCCCCATGTTCTAAAGCCACTTTTTTTTTCTTTAGCTTTCGTAGAAGCTCCAAGCAATTGCATATCAAACGTTCCAATCATAAATGAATAAATGACATAAAGAGATATAAAAGTCAAGCTTTTACACCAATGACCCCACTAAAACCTAAAGCCTGAAGAGACAGAAAAGGATCTTTGCTTAGCTGAAAAATATATATTTAAATAAAGTAGTAAAAAAAAAAGGAAATATAAGCAATTTAATGCACCATTGAAACTGATTCGTTTCCTTCTTCTTCTGCTTTTTTTTTTTTTTTTTTTTTTGCTTCATTTATGACTTGCATCTAATGACTAACATCACCTCACCAGGAAGATCAGCAATTTTAGCCCCAACACTCCCAAAAAAAAAAAAAACCAAAAGAATATACAGACGGACATACATGGAACTTTCTTGACCAGAAGATGACTAACACCTCTCCATCTTTCTCTATCTATACCCATTCCCTTCCATTTCTTCAAACTTTTTGCTTATCATCCATTAAGCTTAGAGCTTTTCGTCAGTCACGTTCTTTACTCTGCCACTCTGGTCTTCCTAAACTGAACTCCAGGCTTGGATTATGGAGCCCTACGTTCGACCCGGTTAAGATCTTTTCTTGAGCCAAACTGCTTACCTGCATAGTTGTAGATACTTTGTTAAAGGTATTTTCCACTGACAACAAAACGTCGAATTGAAAAATATATGAAATCTAAATGACAGAAAAATTGTATAGTCGCTTTCAATATGTTGCTGAAATAAGAAAGCAACAGGTAAGTATATTGTATTGGGCGTTAGCTTTAATATTTTTACTCCCTTGTCTAACACCTGCCTGAGCAAATGCCTTTTAATTGCATGGTTAAGGTACGAGAGTGAGAGATGGGAGAGTAACTTTTACATGTAAATCAAGCCTTCACATTCTCCTTATTGTTCAGTCATACTAATTATCAAAGAAATATATAAATATATAAATATATATATATATAATTTATGCATATGCATAGAACAATGCTGGCAACTTTCATGTATTTTTTCTTTCTTTCTCTGTTAATTATCTGACTCTGAAGTCCGAACAAATTAATCTTATGCAGATCATAAGGGAATATAATGTTCCTGCCTAATTAACCTAGGTGGTTTACTCTACGCAGTCGCTGCATGCATATGATCTATGTAAAGCTAAGTTGCTTAGAGTGAAATGTTTTGATTAATTTGGTTGGATCAGCAGCTTTTGATCACTTACCTCTAATTGGTTTCCAGATTGAGATGATGGAGCTTCCGATCTAAACTCGTCTGGATTCCTCGAACTCGACGACCAAACTCCTCTACTGCACCAAAATTCATACTTAATCAGTTGTTTTCAGTAAAGTTAGCTGCGTATTTTCAATCAACAACCCACTAAATTGAGTTGAGAGATAAAGTGTAGAAAGGCAAAGCAACCAGTTACTCATCGTTCTAGCTACTATTGCTCGAAAATATTCAATCATAACTTCAACATTGGAATAAATGAAAGAGCAAAGGACAGCTTAGCCATATAGATGGAAGAAAATTTTTCCTTATTTCAACATTTGTTAATTATTAGAGGTTGACCTTTTATGAGTGAACCAATATAATGGTAAAAATGTTTTTGACAGGGAAGGCCCAGCAGCAGTTTTATCGCTTGTCGGTCATGGACCAGAACTCAAGGTCAACTCTTATATAATGATGTGAAAAACAGTGCACAATGTAGCACTTGAAGTAATCTTAAATGAGGTTCAGTGTCAATCAACCACAAAAATGGCTTTTGTAACTTTTTAGCAAGTGCCCAAGTGCAGTGCAGCAGTGCAGTACAGGCCCTGTTGCAACCCTTACTAATCTATTGTCTTCCACAATACTTGTTTGAAATGTACAAGTAATGAGATTCATCAATGAATAAAATCTATCCACTGGTAGAAGCCATGAATGCTGTCAGCTGTAGATTGAGCATTGGACCATCAACAGACAAGAGAGGACACCATGTATCCGCTAAAGAACAAGTGTAGGGTTAGCATTTCACCTACAATGATTGTTGTACAATTAACCAATTAAAATTTAAAGTTGTATGGGATCGATCACAAATTTATATAGATTTTACTTTTATAAGTGATGGACCCCTACATAATTTTTTATTATGATTGAACAATTGTAGTAATGTAGTAAAAGGAATTGTAGAGGATATGCTACAAACTCCAACGCCCCTAATGTAATAATTGTCCCCTTCCCAAGTATTTTTCTTTCTTAAATAATTTGCTGTAAGATAAAGACTTGAACTTACACAAAGCTATCTCCAATGGCTCTTTGAAAAACCAATCTTCATTTTAAAAAGAAAAAATTAAAATGCACGAACAATAATAAGCACCAAAACAAGATTAACTAGATTATAGAGAACAGGTCTCGGCCAAAAGCTAAACAGAGAAGCCCCAAACCACAAACTATCAAAACTTGAGTTTTGAGATCTCGTTAATCCCAGCTTCTCCTTTTATACAGAATTTTAATCCATCAAGAAGTGGAAAGGATTGTCAAAATGCATATGTCACTATTTTTATTTGTTTTCTTAGTTGTCAACATATGTTGTCTTTGAGTACCTTTAAGAATCTTACAAGTCAAAATTTACCTCTATAAAATTATATATATGAATATATATGGATAAGGAAGGGTGTTGCAAAATTAAGTTAAAAAATCAATTATATTACAAAAAATTTCTAGCTTATCTTGTGTAGATTGGTTTGTTCTTTTTGCTGCGATAGTTTGGTGGGTGTAAGTATATGATTTTGGCTACAAGGCTATAATAGTGTAAGTGCAAAATTGTTTACTTGGCTATATTGAATAATATTGAAGAGAGTTAGTCTGAAATATGGCTGTAATTAATAAAGTAACTGCAATGAACAAATCTGTGGCTGTAAATAAAATTTCTCAAAGTATTATGTCTCAATTTTATGATTTTTAAAAAAATCGAAGGCCAATCGAACTTTAATTATAAGTGACTTTCGATGGCAATATTTGTCATTGAGAGATAAGGGATAAAAGAAAAGAAAAGAAAAAAGAAAAACAAAGGAGGAAAAAGCTTCCCATTTTTGAAATTGATATCAAGCTTGGAAGATGATCAACAATTTATGTTGATTACAAGAAAATAAAGTGAGAAGCCTCTAAGAAAACACCGCAGCTGTAAGAACTTGGAACTAATTCTTCTTTAGGTCTCAATTTGAATCTTGAGAATTTATGCCTCCACTAAAGGCAAAAATAATTCTGCGAAGACCTCATATTTATGTTTGAATAAAATGATAAAAGGACTAAAATATATAATATCAACTTATATATATATATATATGTATGTATGTATATAATGGATTATCATTTTGTGCACAATTGAAAATTTTGAACTTCATAAGTGGGATTAGAATGTTATCATATGTGATTTTACTATTATATTAATTTTCTTAAATATAACTTAATGAAATACATTTTAGTCTTCTAATCACACTTATGGAGTTTATTAAAAATTTTCATTGACTGTGATTTTGAAGTAGGTAAAGTTAATTTATCTATAAAATTTAACAAAATTTAATATTCAAATCTTCAAAGGAAAAGATTTTACTTTTTTATTTCCAAACTAATCAACCTTTTAGTTTTCACCCTAAATTTAGTAAAATAAAAGAATGAAGTTGCTAAAGAAATAGAGCTTTAGTAATTTATGCTAAGTTTGAAAACATGAATTTGAGAAAGTGAATTTAGATTTAGTTTACTATATAAGTTGTGAAACCAAAAATTAAATGTACACATTATGTAAAAATTAGTTAAGATTCAATATACCTGTATATATTTGAGAGGGTATTACAAGATGAATTTTAAATCCCCAAGTATTTCAAATTCAACAGTACTAGATAAGGATCTAATAACTTTATGAATTTGAAAATAATCTTAAGAGTTATATTTAATATGCTTTATCACACAATTTACACTTATTTTCAAAAAAAAAATCTCTTTTTTTTTGTTTTAATTCAAGCTACCAAACATAATTTTATTATCTATATATATTTATTTTTTGTACAAAGGGGACCAAAATTTAAGGGAAAATAAGCAATGAAAATTTAAATGTTGAGGATTAAATGACTGTTTCGCAGAATTCACGTCCTAAAACAGATAGATGCATCATTTTATCTGAACACCAGATGTCATCTATCGTGTTGTCATATATCTCTTCAATATTTACAAAGAAAAGAATATAGTAACTTCAATTCAGTTTTTCCACCCAGTACTTTTTTCTCCTGTCTAATAGTAGTGTATAAATCTTCCACGAAAAATTTTGGGAATTCTCTGAATTGCATATTTAATCCAAACTAACGTGTAGGAATTATTGCCCATAGCACTTTATGTCAAACTGTTCCATCTCTGCTTTTTAAGATATATTCCCCTTCCAAAAATCACCCATATTTACTAGAAAAACGTTATTGAGTTTTAAGATGTTACAAATTTGTCCTTGATGTTTGACACATTTTAACTAGACTTATATACAGTATCATTCACCATCTTTACTTTTCTACATGTAATCTCATGAAAATTAAAACTTTTGTACATGGGGCTAATTAATATAGAAATCAACAATAACATAAAGAATTAATGGCATGAGGATATTGTGATGGATGAGGGGAAAATTCACAAGGGACCTCAATTAGATAGAATTATGAAGGAAAATGTTTGAGGTAGCTTAGCCATCAATGGGGACTAGAGGATGGCAAATGGATCTACCCTTGTGCCCTATGCTTCCATTAGACTAGCATCTTTTTATTTATTTAAAATTCTGGCTGCATGAAAAGGGTGTTGGTGTATAGTGATGTAATACATTATACGTGGACTTCGATGAATATTCATATGCAACTCGTTCATTTAGGCTTGAGCTCCAGGATTAATAAAGTAGAGTTTGAGCTTTATAATACTTTACTCCAGTAATTCAAAATCATATCATGTTTTCTAATTTTTTAATATTATATACATATATAAATTAAATATATTATTTATACACTTTCAAGTTTTTGTTGAATTTTGATTGTAGACTCGAGACCGAGCCTAAGTTAAATTATAAGTTCCATGTGCAATTCAATTGATTATTTTTCAAGTTGAGTTTAAAAAAAAAAAAATAGCTCTAGCCTAATATTATATCAATCTGTTTCAGTTCAACTTGACTTAACTTGACTTGTTTACATCCCTAAATGTATAGGTCCCATGAAAAACACAATTTGCGCAATTTAAGTTGGAATCTTGAGATAAGTTAGGCTCCTCCTTCAAGGCCTCAAGAAAAGCTAAGAGGAGAGCTGAATAAAATAATATAGGCTTTGAATAAACTAAATGAAAGCAAAGATATGGACGAAGATTCTAGCCCACAAAACCATCTACCATAAGATGTTGTTGACCCCTTGTACCCTTCCAAGTATGACCCATACCAGGCCTAGTCCAGTCAAGGGATTCTTTTCACAATAATTCACAATCCATATAGGATATACCTTTCATGGGATGCTATCTGCATAAGCTCAAGAGAATTTCAAAGTTTTGTTAGCCCTACCTTTGTAGAAAAAGTAATGGAACTAGTTTGAGTCCTCAACTTAGATGATCCAAGAAAGAAAAAGAAGTTGAAGCTGAAGGTAAATGAGTATTTAAGACTCAAAATCTAAACAAAAATTAAACATGCTCAAGGAAAGGTTATGGGTCATGGAGTGAACAGACTTTTATGATTCCATAGATGTTGTTGTGCTCTATTTGGTCCCAGATGTTGTGATTCCTTTAAAATTTAAGGTTTCAAACTTTGAAAAGTACAATGACATTAAGTGCTCGATTACACACATCACTATGTAGTATCGAAAAATGGCTACCTACACTAGTAGTGAAAAACTCTTAATACATATTATTTTAAGATAGTTTTACTAGTTCAGCTACGAGATGGTATGTTTAGTTAGATAAAACTTGTATTCACTCTTAAAAGGATCTTGTTCGAGCATTCATTAATCAATATAGGCACATTATAGACTTAGATCTTAATCGTTTTCTTTGCAAAGTATAGAGAAGAAGGTGATGGAGTTACTCAAAGAGTATGCCCAAAGGTTGAGAGACATGGTTGCTCAAATCCAACCACCTTTAATTGAGAAAAAAACCATAGTGTTGTTCATAAGTACTTTGAAGGCACCCTATTATGAAAAGATGATAGGGAATACAACAAAAAATTTTGATAACATGGTGATCTTAAGTAAGATTATCGAAAATGCCATAAAAAATGGCAAACTTGAAGAAAAAGAGACTGCTAGCAAAAAGAAAATGCCTA